TTATTTGATTCCCCCCCCCCCCCCAAGCTGGAAACTTTACAGAGACTTAGACCATTTAGCTGTTTTAAATGCATTAAAAGGGCTTAACTTTAGGGTTTCCACGGCATATGAGATTTAGGGTTATTATTGGGTAGTTTTAGGGTTTAGGGTTTACTATAATGGCTATGAGCTGGCGTCAACGCCTGTTAACATTCATTTGTTAGTTCTTTATCTGAATGTGAAGAAGGGTTCGTATTGAATTAAAAATGTGTGAGAGAGATCATCATTTTGTGGAGTGGAAAGAGCATTTTGTGTCAAAGGAGAGAGGGAGCCGTGTTGTTCATTACTTCCTCAAGGATTCTGCTGGTGAATCCATCTTAGCTATCGTTGGAACTGAGAGAAGTGCTAGACACATGTTCTATGTTGTCTCTGAGGATTTTGTGAGTTTCTATGGTTCCGAGAATTCGATCCATGCTGGATTCAAATGGAGGTCGAGGAGAGAGGTTGTCGATTGGCTTACTTCTATGCTGTCTAAACAAAATTCACAAGCAAACTGGTCGAGTACGTATCTAGCTTTAAATTGAGTGGGGAATGAAGGGATTCTTTTTCTGTGAGGGAGTCTCTTCTAAATTTGTAGCTGGTTATTTATAGAACTTGTTTACCGTCGAATACAGAGACACCAAAATGTGATTCGGAGGAATCTAATGGATCTCCCGAGTTTTCAAGCAATGGATTTGCTGCTCAGCGAGCTCAAGCAACGGAGGAGGTTATGTGTAACTACTTGTTGCTATAGACAATAGTCACTGCATATTCACTCTCCTTTGATACTGATGAAAATCCTGTCTCACAGGCCCGGCTTCCCATAAACTTGAGGGTTCACATTTGGGAGATTATGTGGTCAGGAGTTTCCTGGATGTGTGCTAAACAGCTCGAACATTACCCATCATTTTGTAGGAATGGGACAACGATAGGGGTAAGCTGAAAACTTCGCATCAGTGAACTTTTGAGTATATCGATTTCCTTGAAGTACCTATGTTGTCAGGCATGCACAGATCGCTATATGTTGATTGTCATTGTGTTTGGATCTGTTAAGTTTTTGAGCATGGATTGGGACTCTCTACTCACTTGAAGGTTGAATTTTCAGGTTGACTCTTTTGTCTTTGTCATGAGCAAAGGGGACGACCGGTACGTTGCGTATCTTGAAGATATGTATGAGGACAAGCGTGGCCTAAAAAAGGTCAGGGTAAGGTGGTTTCACTGCACAAAAGAAGTGAAGGGTGCAGTTGCTCTCAAAAACCCACACCCAAAAGAGGTCTTCATCACTCCTCATTCACAGGTCATCAGTGCCGAATGTGTTGATGGTCCTGCCACAGTCCTCACCCGTGAGCATTATGAGGAGTGTATAGCTTCTTTTCCCAATTCTTTATTGGAAAGGGTGCACATGTGCTATCGGCAACTCAGGAAAAACAAAATCAAACCTTTTGACTTGAGTAAATTGCGTGGCTATTTAGACCAACCGATATTGTCTTGCTTAAGTTCAATGGAGGCTTGTCCTGTAGACTGTGGGATGAATAAAGAGGAAGATGAACTGTGGAGTGATGGTGAGAATCTAATGGTTGGCGCTGAGCAGAGCAAGAAAAAACAAAGAATAATGATGTCTGACCATCTGTTAACAGCATATGAATCTTCATGTAAAAGACTCAAACTGGGAAAAAGATTTCCTTCCCCAGAGGTTCATAAACATTCTTGTTATGATGGAGTCATTAAGGGTGATGCAAAAATAGAGTTTCTGTGTCAAGATAGCGGTATTAGAGGCTGCTGGTTTAGGGGCACTGTCGTGGAAGTATCAAGGAAACAGGTTAAACTTCAGTATGATGATATAGAGGACGAGGATGGATACGGAAACCTTGAGGTATGTATATGACCATTGCCTATTTAAATTTTTGTGTTTTGGAACCCAATTGTTGTTGATACTATCTTTTGTTTATCGCCTAACGTTTTTTGTTTCTTATTTTATGAGTAGGAATGGGTGCCGGTTTTGAAATCTGCTATGCCTGATAAGCTTGGTATGAGGTCGTCCAACCGCCCAACAATCCGTCCAGCTCCTCCTGATGCTAAAACAGCAGACGTTGATCCTGCAATTGGTAAAGCTGTTGACGCATGGTGGAATGATGGTTGGTGGGAAGGTGTTGTAATTGCCACTGACAAACCGGACGCTGAGGAATTGCATATATATATCCCTGGTATGATTTAGTCAGTGTTTTCATATTTTCATCTCTCACTCACTAGTTGCTTCCACTTTCTCCATCTTTCTCTTAAAACTGACATGTGTTTGGTTTTCATGATGTTAGGTGAGAACTTATGCTTAACAGTGCAGAGGAAAGATATTCGGATTTCCAGAGACTGGGTGGGAGACTGCTGGGTTGACATTGATCCTAAACCGGAAATACTCTCTCTTGTATCTTCTGATGTTAGCCCTGATTCTGAAGCCAAGCTTTCCATTTCTTCCACTCTTTCAAAAGATGCCAAGGCAAAGCCCATTGCAATGCCAGATATTGTCGAGGAGGCAGAATCTAAAGGCGATATACCGGAGATTTCCCTTTTAGGAAAAGAGAACAAAGAGCATAAAGATGATGGGGTTGTTAAGAATGATGATGAAAGCAGATTTTCGAAAGAAGAGGATAAAGAGATTGGAAGTAACCAATGTCAGGACCACAAGGAAGATGATGTTAACGGTAATGATGAGAAATCCCGCAAATCAGAAACAGTCTTCACCCTGTCAAAAACTACTACCACGCTGGTGACATCGTGAAGATGCTTTCTTGAGGTTATATATAATGATGGTAATTCTGGTACATGCCACGTCTCTAAAAACTTTAGTGTGTTTCTTTATGTATATATATATATATATATCTATAACATTATTTGAGAAGTAAATTTGCTTAGTTGTCAACTTCTCCATGATTTTAGGTTATTTTACTTATTTTCATGTTTTAATAATTTAGTATATATCCAAAACATTATTAAACATAATTTTTTATACTTTTTTGTTATGTCTAAAAACGATATTAATTTATTACTAAATGTTTCAAGTTTATGAGTATTTTCAAATATAAGTTGTGTAATGAAAATTATTTATATGATGATGAAAATTTTATAAATAAAAAGAATTTTTTAGTTTATTATTAAATATTTTGAGTCTATGAACAATAATTTATTATAATTTACATAACTTGATTATATATTTATTTATAGATATTAGTAAAATTATTAAGCCCGCAAGTGCGGGCAAAACACCTAGTATATATATATTGAGATAGTTTGCAGTAGAAAAGAAGGAAGTGATTTTAGGTTTGACTTGTTTGGTGCTGAGGAGAGACGGAGTAGGTAAAGGTTGTGAAGAAAAATTGAAGAGGCATGCTTTTGGTGGTTGCATTTGTTTTTAACTGATCTAAGAATAGGATTTTGTTTTAGGGACTTGATTATCTTAAACAACTTTGTATCAGCTTGTAAGAAAAGCGAAAATCAAATCGTTTTATAATAGTTTGAAAACACGCAGATTCTATTTCTCTCTGCGCGCAGATTTAGTACTAATTACACATGTAAACTAAAGTATGATTAGGTCATCATCATCTTCTGTTAGCTAAACAGTACCCTTGTCAGTTTTTCTTTCTAACAAAAGTGTTTTAGAGTCTGAGCCATTGATCTCCATATATAAACTCTCTCCCAAGAAAAGGCTTCACTTCATCTTGGGTAAGACTCTTTGACCACGGTACTCTACTTTTTCTCTCTGCTCCTCTTCCCCTGCAATTATACTCCCCGAACAGCACTTTACTGCAGAAACAAAGAAAAAGAAATCGTCCTTTTGTAGTTTTTTTCAGACTGAATAGCTTTAGTTTCGTAGTTTCAGTGTGTTACCTTTGTCTGTCAGTATCGTCCCAGTCACTCCATCCCACAGGAGTGATGATATCAGCTAGGTAACAGTTTGAATAAACAGTCCTCGAGTAGTTTCCCCAAGCTCTGCCCAAGTAAACCTTCCCGGTTCCTCCAATGTCACAGTTCACAAAGGAGAAACCAGTATCATCATTCTCTTCACTCCTATGGTGAGCTGCAATGGCGCCAAATCTCTTCGCTGTTGAGCGGATATCACAGTCCTGTGGTGTTGTTACATGAAACACAAAACCTCAGACCAACATTGAACATTTTTTTCTATATATATACAGAAAGGATTAGTTAAAGATGAATGGGGGTTATTGCCTGGTAAAGCGACTTGGCGTTGCCGAAGATGAAGTCTACACTTCCTTGGATGTGGCATTGGTAAAAGTAGTGAGAACCAGTTGCATCATTAAGAGTGTCTTGTGATCCCAATACCCTAACTTTATAGAACATTGCTTTATCCCCTGTCACCCTTAGCGCTGCCGCTTGCTTCCCTTCTTCTCCCGCCTCTGCCACCACCGTGTTCTGCACTCATTCAGACGTTCAAAATGCATATTAGAAGAACACAAAAGAAGGAAGAAAGATAGAAAGAATAGAGATTTGTTTTTAGGACCTCGAAAGTAATGGCAGTGGCACAGAAGAAATCAGAGTCGATTGCAACAGTGGCGGTTCTGTAAGTGCCGAGTTCAGTACCGTTGCCATAAGGGTCTGAAGACTTATCGCTCCATGTAATGACTGTGTATTCTGCGTAACTTTCATTGCCTATGAACGAAACGTACGGTTTTGTCCTCGGCACTATCACCTTCTCCCTGCAAGGACGAAGCCATTAATGTGTAAAATAACACAAAACAAACATTCTTTGAAAGAGAGTATGACTCAGACAGAGATTCTTAGAAACAGAGTATGACAGAGACAGAGATTCTGTAATAATAATAAAAACAGAGAATTTCGGAAAAGATTTAGAGAGAGAAGATAGAGAGGGAAATTGTATTACAAAAACTACCCCACGTAGCTGATGTGTAAAATAACCCCCACTAACCCAAGAACTTAGCTTCTTCAACTGCTTTCTTTTATTAAAAACAAAAAACAAAAAGCAAAAAAACGTTTCTAATTTTTGATCAAAACACGGTTTCTGTCTTGAACCAGAATGTTTGATTTACCTGTAAACGCCAGGAAGAATTAAGATTTTAACTCTCTGAGAATTGGAATCAGGAACCATATCAACAGCTCCTTGAACTGTAACAGAGTCTCCTCTTCCCCTCTTATCAACCACTATTACTCTGCTCGCGTTTAAAGCCGCCAAACTGTTTTCTTGGTTAACCAAATTATTATCGTTCACCTTAGCGCTGAAACTCCTCTTTGTTCCAACATCTTCCACAACTCTCATGTCTTCCCAACTTATGTAACTCTTCAACTCATCACCTTTATCATCACTCTGCAACACTCTCGACGTCACTGAACTCAACAGAACACAGAAACAGAGCAATAAAACCGCGGGAACAAAGTTTCTGTCTTTCATGGAGAATGTCTGTGAGAAAAAAAAAACAAACTCGTTAAGACCAAAACAAAACAAAAAGTTATGTTTCTTTTCCTGAGTTGTGGAGAAATAACGTTTTCAGGTTACGTGGGGTGGGAGTGAGTTAGAGAAGAAAAACTTGGCAAAGTTTACGTTTATATTTTGCCGTGAAAGTTTTATTTTATGTTGAGAGTCTTTAGAGGTGAAAGGTCGTGTGAGAAAGATGGGTTTAATAAATACGAGGAGCCTCTCTCTTTGTTCTGTTTTCTTCTTTTAACTCTTAAATCCTCCTCATGAGATAAACTCTATCATCTTTGTAATTAAAATTTATTTATCCTCAAACTTCAAATAAAATTTTGGATTTTAACCTCGGTTTGATTTTTTTAAAGAGTTGTATTATATTTAACATCTGTAGTTATCATCTTTCAGATTAATATCTTACATATTTGTAACAATTGTAAGAATCAGAACTTTAAGTGTTATACTAATCAATTTATATAGTTTTGTTTATCCTTTCGTTTTATATATTTATGATAATATTGTTTTGGTTAAAAGATCTTTAGAGTAATTATCTTGAAATATATATCATGAGATAACTTTGAAGTTTAAATCTAAGAAAAATTACAAGTTAGTAATTTCAAGTGACAATACTAACATTAAACTATCATATGCTCGAGAAGGATACATGTCTTTGATAGTTATGATTTAATGTTTATTTAGAGTTTATGGTTGGGCAGAAAAAATTCGAATCCAGGAAATCGAACCGAGTCTGATCCAAAAAAATAGTACCGAATCCGAACTGAAACATGTTAAATATCCGAACGGGTTTAAAATTTTGTATTTAGATAATCGGAACCAAATCTAATCCAAATCAAAATATTTTAGGTATATGACTATATCATAATCAGATTTATATACTTGAATATATTAGTTATTTTTAGATTTCATATACAAAAGAAATATTTAAAATGTATAATATATATTTGATAATATATACAAATAGTTAAAAGTAAATATTTAAAATAAATAACAATACTCAAAATCTTAAAATATCAATTAGTCCTTCATCGAAATATTACTTATTTTTATATTAAGTTTAGATATTTTGCCATACGTTACTCTAACATATATATTATATTTATTTTTAAATTTTGAGAAATTTAATATATATAGAAATTAAAAAAATAATTTAAACATATTAACCAAACCCGAACCAAACCCACAAAATTCAAACGAACCTGAAACAAATTTTGTAAATACCCAAATGAGACTGATCTATACTATTATTTGCGAAGTGATTTTTCGCAACGGAGCTCTCACGTTAAAAGTTGGAGCGGTTAATATCGTTTATACCCTTAATGAATAAAATATATAAACCAGCTAAAAATAAAAACAAATTTGATATTTATTTGATTAGAAAAATGATTTAAATTAATAATACTGATAAGAATTATCCATAATCTAAATATATATTTAAAAAAATAATAATTCCTATATATATTGCGTTGTTATCCGGAAAATATATTTTAAAGTGATTTTTCGCAACGGAGCTCTCACGTTAAAAGTTGGAGCGGTTAATATCGTTTATACCCTTAATGAATAAAATATATAAACCAGCTAAAAATAAAAACAAATTTGATATTTATTTGATTTGATAAATGATTTAAATTAATAATACTGATAAGAATTATCCATAATCTAAATATATATTTAAAAAAAAAAAGATAATTCCTATATATATTGCGTTGTTATCCGGAAAATATATTTTAATAAAAAATCCAAAACAGAAAACACATAAATAAATATTCATAAAGTAAAATTTATAGTTGTATATAATTGAAAATAGAAAATTGAAAATTTATAATATGTAATTATATTCAAATTAAAAGAATATAATAATAGAATATAATGATATATATTTGTGAAATTATTTTTTGCCTCTGAACTCACACGTTAAATTAAATTTATTTTATATTTTATATAGTTAAACCTTAAACATGAATTAATCATAATAAAATAAAATATCATTCAAAAAGAAAGAAAATACGTGTTTGACAAAAATAAATTCAAATATATTGTATTATTATCCTGACTAATATTATTTTTCTGTTAGATCAATTTTTGAATGAATATTTATCGATTTAATTTTTAAAATTGAAAGATAGATTTCTATACTTTTATCAATTAAGAAGAAATAAAATAGATTTCAGATTTTTCAAAGTTAAAGGAAAAAATAGATTTTTTTTCAATCTGTGAATAACTTTATCATGTAAAAAAGTTTAATGTTTTAGTTCGAATTTTTTGAATGCAAATAATCATTTATTTTGATGATATTTTAATTTGACTTAAAAGACAATTAAGTCCGCATGTGTATACAAAACACCTAGTATCTTTAACTTAGAAAATTTGAATACCAAATGGACCCAACCCAAACCCGAGTAAAATAATTGGGATAAATATAACTCTAAACATTTATCTTAAATTGTCCTACTAACATAGGATTTAAAACATAAAATCCATTGTTCAAAAACTCCCCCGAGTAGGCGATTACTCGTCCGAGAATACGCTACTCGGAGACCCACCGTGGCGTGTTGGTGCTGATGGGTGGCGTTACGCGTTGACCCGATTTTTCCTGGCTTTGACCGCATAATCACCGAAATCGGCGAGTAAATCTGGAATCCGAGTTATCCATAATCTGAAAATTTTATAGCATATATGGTCAAATCCTTTTATCCCACAAAATCCACAAATGTTTTTACTAAGATTGGATTAGAACCAACAAAAAATAATAAGAACAAGTGAAAGATGTAATAAAGATGTAACGGAAGCGAGAGCTCAACTCGTAAGCGAAGGGATGAAGAAGACAAGTATTAAATTACATGCTTATCCCTTATTAAAAAATATTTACAATTTCTAAAATGAACAAGAGATTCTAACTTGTATTCTCCACAACTCGAAAAAAGCTTCTACCCACTTGGTCAAACAAACTTTATTATTTATATGTTATTGATTTATATAAATACGTATTATATTTATATAAAAGTTTAAAACAAAACCAGTAGTTTGAGGAACATTCAGTAAAACTATTTTTTTTAGATATATGACAATTTATATTTTTGCGACTGACAAATACAATTAGTTTTTAATTTATTTTGTTATATTTCTACATACATTAATGTTTTATTAAACATGTATTATACATAAAATTTGTATTATACGTATAAATAAAGTATTATACGTATAAAAATATAAAAAATTCATCTCCGCGTATTCCCCGAGTTTTTTCCGATTTTCTAATAAATCGCTAGGCGCAGATGTGTCGCACGCGTAGCGCCTATCGAGTTTCCGAACAAGGATAAAATCTAACACTAGTTAAGTTTATGCTTACTGTTGGGGTCAAAATTGGTCACGACGGAATCAGTGGCTAAAAATCCTGGAAAAAGCGTATTAGAAAATTAGACGCTTTCTACGGAGATACGAAGTTGCGGAAAACTCATATCAAACTCTGAAATAATTAAAAGACCTCCTTGTTGGGGGCAAAAAATGTAATCTCGAAATCAACGTCTACAATTACTTCTCTTTATATTCTCCGAAAAGATCTCGAGTAGAGAAAACAAGAAACGACTGAAACCAAACAACCGACCAGCTCGCCAAGACGGCGAACTGGACGAATCAGCTCAGCTCGCCGGCTTGACGAGCAGACCACAGCTAATCAGCTCGCCAGCCGGCGAGCTGGTTGTCACGAACCATTTCGTCGTCTCCTTGGGCTGAACCAAATCGTCAAGGTCCCTCAAATCGATTGTACTCTGAACCTTGTTCAGAATATTTTTCGTTTCGTCTCGATCCGACTTACCGTTGGAGTTTTACGATAAAAATAGCTAAAGACTTGTTTTCTCGTAAAACCTCGAGTAAATCGTATAAAACGGCAGCGGTTAAACGAAACACCGGACATTGCCAAAACTATACGATTGACTCGAGTTATTTCATAAAAACGGTAGCGTATCATGGAACAATCCCGTCTAAAATCGTAAAACGGCTAAGTTGCAAAACGGTTTGGAAAGACCTAAAACGCGATAAGGGCCCACTCACGGCTTTAGAAGAGATCCAGCGCAAAGATACGATGACGGTTTAGCTATTATTCACATGAATGGATAAATTTCAAGTTTGAAGATAAAATAGATTTTTTCCAAGGAAAAATAGGAAGATCGATATAAATGGAAGATTTCCGATAAACGCGAATCGGGGGGAGAAAAGGAAAGACCAACCACCTAAAGGATGAGTATATAAGCACAAGGTCGAAGTCAAGAGAAGAGGATCTAAGAACTTTTACAACTTTTCTAAACTTAGAACTCTTTGCAAATAGAAACTTAGGCTTTATTCTCGACAAGTTTGGTTTCTATGACTGGTGCTAAGTTACTAGACGAACTCGCCCAGGCAGTTCGATCTCTTGTCCAGCTCTATCGAAAGGGGTATGTAGGCAGCCTTTCATAAGGTTCAGTCCAAAATCAATCAAAACTTTTTTTCTTATCATTTTCGTCTTTTATCGAGGTTCGACTCAACTAAGTTTAGGGTTTAATGTTGCTAGAACTAGGTAACTCCGCACCGGCTATGCATCGAGCTTCCATACAAACAAAGGAAAGATTATACGAAACTTTCATCGTATAAATCAAACCAAAAACGGATAAACGTTTTCTAAGACCACATAAATACTTGGCATATCAATCTCGACAAACGCTACTTGGTCCTTGTCCGATCACGCTTCACTTTGATGCCGAGCTAGGTTACAGCATCCTTTAAGGGCGATCTAAACCGACTCAACCTTATTGATATCACAAAGGTGTCATGGTCTAGTCCTCTACCAACCACGTCCTTGGCTATGCGGCTGAATACAACCTTCACGCCAAGCCAAAACATTCAACAGACAATGTAAACTTGTCGAAAATTGACTAAGCTCTACATTCTCACAATAACTTTATTTCCGAAGCGAGTTGCCTACAAAATCT